GGCTGAGGCAGGCAGAACACTTGAGCATAGTAATTCGAGACCGGCCTGAGCAACATAACGAAACCCCATCTCTACAAAAAAACTAGGCCAGTGTGGTGGTACATAGTCCCAGCTACTCGGGAGGCTGAAGTGGGAGGATTCCTTGAGCCCAGGAGTTCGAGATTACAGAGAGCCATGACCGCACCACTGCACCCCAGCCTGGAGAGCAAAGTGAGACCCTGTCTCAACTTAAAAAACCAACAACGAAGATCAGATATTAGAACGAGGGATTCTCCTTGCACCTCTATTGCTCAGGAAATTCCAAGGATTCTAGGTGCTCTACGCCAGGAACCAGGGGTAAAGAGGACAATACATATTTCTTATTATAAATCACACCACCAGTGGGTAGGACAGTGGTTCTGAACCTCTGCTGCACAATTAAATCATATGGCAAGTTCCAGGCCCTCCCCCTAGAGATTCTGATATAATTGGTTTGAAATATGGCAAAATAATTCTAACTTTAGAAGAACTGAGAGCTCCTGAGCCACAGGAACATAATAATAGCTACCATGCATTGGTGCCTACTGCGTGCCTGGCGCTTCTCACACCTCGTCCCAAACCTCACCTGCAGGGCCTCAAGGTGGATGTTGTTTGTATTTGTAGGTGGAAAACCGAGGCCAGGCGTGGTGGCTCACGCCTGTAATCCCAACACTTTCGGAGGCCGAGGAGGGAGGATCACTTGAGGTCAGGAGTGTGAGACCAGCCTGGCCAACATGGTGAAACCCGTCTCTACTAAAATACAAAAACATAAAAAAGAATTGGCCAGGCTTGGTGGTGGATGCCTGTAATCTCAGCTACTAGGGAGGCTGAGATAGGAGAATTGCTTGAACCCGGGAGGTGGAGGTTGCAGTGAACCAAGATCGCCACATTGCACTCCGGCATGGGTGGCAGAGCGAGACTCCATCACAAAAAAATAAAATAAAATATAAAAAATATAGGTGAAGAACCGAGTCTCGGAAGTATAAAGAGGAATTATCTGAAGAGCAGAGTTAGAAAATGCCACAGCTAGACAATGATAAGCATGGGCCCAGGTCTTCCCTTTCCATAGCTGGGTACTTTAGAACTTCATAGCTGCTGGCCAGGCATGGTGGTGTACGCCTGTAATCCTGGCGCTTTGGGAGGGCAAGGTGGGAGGATCACTTGAGGTCAGGAGTTTGAGACCAGCTTGGCCAACATGGTGAAACCCCGTCTCTACAAAAAAACACAAAAATTAGCAAGGCATAGTGGTACGCGCAGCCTGGGTGACAGAGTGAGACTCCATCTCAAAAAAAAACCCAACATCATAGCTGCGGAGGCCAGGCACGGGGGCACATGCCTGCAGTCCTCTCACTTCGGGAGGCTGAAGTAGGAGGATCACCTAAGCCCAGGAGTTGGAAACCAGCCTGACAAACATGACAAAATCCTCATCTCAAAAAAATTAAAAGCCGGCCGGGCGCGGTGGCTCAAGCCTGTAATCCCAGCACTGTGGGAGGCCGAGGCGGGTGGATCACGAGGTCAAGAGATC